AGTAGCTGAAAACTACACAGGCATAAAATATTAACAAAGACTAGCAGTTACATTTATGGTAACTTTGTGGAATTAGTGATATATAAAAAGGCACATTCAGATAACTGAAGAATACAAGGCCCTCTTGCAGTGTTTAGCCCAGTATTGCTTGGGGGAGACCCTTCTGGATAATGTCTTTCCTGATTTGAGCTAAAATCTAGGGACTACTTTCCATGGCAGACAACTCAGCTCTAAAACAAAGCATCTAGTGATCTTTAGTTTGAGATGTCTACATGATACTTTAGAGCTCCATTAAAAATATACCAACCATGGATATGATAAAAATGTGAAATCAAGACATAGGATTAGATTCAAGTGTAACAGAATTTGTTATCTTTTGGTTATTGGATGTTTCATCAATTCAGTAACTTCACTGATGAAGTGTTCATGTTTTGACTTTTGAGTAAATGATCTGTGAATTAAAATTCCCCCATTCTAGTGTTGTCTTTGATCAGCATTGACTACTGTAGCTCTCTTCCATCCACCCCCACATGAACAATGATCTTCCAAAGATCTCCCAACTAAATCAAACCCTAGCAATAACTATTAGATGAAAAAACATGTGGGTACAACATGCTTCACTTTTTCTGATACCATCATTAGGGTTATATTTATGTGAGTGCTCTGTCTGTGGCATCAGAGAAATGGCATGAGCAAAGTTCTCTTGTGGTGATTAAACAGGAAGAACAGGTGACTGTATGAAAGAATCTCAAGTATGGAAGTATTTCATATTCAGAATGAATTAACAATTACTCAAATTCTTAATATACACAAAGCAATGGGAAGGAATCTTCTATGTAGATGAGATGAAAAATACACAGGAAAGGTATCTACATTAAAAGAATTCTTGGTAATCTCTATAGTCTGCACCCACAATACCTGATACAGTATCAAATATTACAGGCAGAAGACAATCACTGCCCAAGGCAATTAATAATAGGAAAAAAACTGAGGCAGATGTGCACACAACTCAGAAAAACACTTCACAATTTTGTACTAAATTAGATCAGAAAGTTCACAAGAACCACATGCAACTTTCCACAAGCCTAATTTTATAGAACTGCTATTATAGTCACAGGGTCTGCCAATAGTAAGAAGCAACGGTGGACCCACACATAAGTCCAGGAAAATGCTCCCTGCCTCTACTACTTTTTAAAAAACATTCTAAAACACAACAAAGTAAGACTAGGAATTGTTGGGTTTAAGATGTAATTCATTTCCTGAGGAGTGCAACTACGGCTGTGGCCAGTCTCTTCTGCTGCACAAATGTTTTAGGTGTATCTCTATTTTCCCTAATTTTATCTGAAGTAAGGACTGTAACCTAAAATTGGCTGTGGGTGGAGAAATGTGAGGTAGAGCAGGGCAAGTTCAGTAAGTTAGCTCAGCTGTAGAGAAGTATTTTAAAGAAATTAAAAGGTAGGGCTGAGTGTGTGGCTCGGTGACAGAGTACTTGCCTACAACACTCAGGGACCTGAATTTAATCTGAGAGAGGGAGGGAGGCAGGGAGAGGAAGAGGGAGGGAGGAAATTAAAGTTAAATGTAATTATCAAAATGATTTGTATAACCACATGAAAAAAGGGTAAGAAGAATTTATGGGGCATTTATTACATAGATATATGAATAGCTGCTGAAGGGCTGCTTAGGCGTAAAGCTTTTGGTAATGTGTATTTCTCTCTGCCTCTCATACTGAGTTCTACTTTAAAATTATTACATAAAATTACAGAAATGAATGACAACAAGTTAATTACCTTTGTTGAACATCCAATTTTGGAGTTGACAGAACACAGCTATTTAAATACTAATTGTGATCTTGTTTGTATTCAATTGTGTTTACAAGTTTATAGACCCACTTAAGTCAACTGCTCAGTTTTCATCATTCTTCCCTTTAAATATGAAAAACATAGGGCTGGGCATGGTGGCTCGGGCCTGGAATCCCAGCTACTAGGCAGGAGGCGGCAGATGGCCTGGGCAAAAAAGCACAAGACCCCATAGGGAAAAATAACGAAAGCAAAAAGGGCTTGGTGCATGGCTCAAGTGGTAGAGCACCTGCCAAACAAGCACAAGACTCAGTTCAAACCCCAGTACTGCCAAAAACTAAAAAACCAAAATAAAAAACTCAAAAGAAAAACAATCCTTGGCAGTTTGTTTTCTACTCTTAAAATAGTGCAAGGTGATTTCATCTCTAAAGAAATACTTCAGAAAATGGGGTGGGAGGTGCTCATTTAGACCACAAGGTGGCAAACAAGAAGTTCACTACCATTTTTATTTGATGGTTTGAAAAAGGTTAGCTTGCTAAAGGTTTGCTGCCATTCATGCTTTTGAACTCTTGAAGAAAAAGCACTGGGTTAAATGGTTTAAGCAATTTTTAAATAGTAAAAAACATGTATCTTGATTTCAAGTGTAAACTGAATTTTGAAGCAGAGGAACTGCATACAAAGTTACTTCTTGATGCTTAAATTACTAGTCTCTAACATAAACAAGATTAAATGCAGAGGATATCTCTAGTTACCCTATTAAAATATTAAATCTTAGTCATTTCCTTATGAATTCCAAGGTTGATTATATCAGAGATTGTTTTGTCTGCATTATTAAATCATAAAAATACAAAGTTTTCTATCAAAAATGAGAAAATCTGTATTAATCATCTGAGAATTAGAAGTTCTGATGTATTGAGCTAAGCTTTTTCTAAAAGGTGGCCTTAAGTGTTCACATACTGAAGCGTGAAGTATTCACCGTTTAGTGACCTTTGTAGGTCTCTGTATGGAAACATAGTTTTAAAAAATACATTTCAATTAATTTGAGGTTTCAGACTTTTAAAATATGTAGGCTGGAACATACAGATATTATGAATATACTAATAAGATGAAAAGGACTGGCTTGAGTAATATGGTTAGTTTTCCTGGCTAGAGGGACCCAAGGGCATTGGGGAAGCTGCATAATAGGCAGGCCAGTAAGGTGCATTCTTTGATGGAAAAGAAACACCTGGTGAGGACTAAAACTCTGAATAAATACTAATACAGTTCATCTCTAAGAGCTGGACAGAATATGAGTTCTGTCATTCACAAAAAATTTTAACCTATTTGAAGACAGCCTTTCTTAACTTTTAAAATGGAAATCAGTGGCAAAGCAGGATTTTACTTTAAAGAAATTCCTTTATAGTCAGTTTTATGGGACAGATTCATTTCAATAAAAAAATTTAATATAGTTAGAAAACATGGAAGTAATTCAAAACATAAGTATAAAAATAATTTTTTCAAATGTTTTAAAGACACTTATCTGTTATAATCCTGAAACTAATACTTAGTATTTTCCTCCCATTTAAAAAAAATGGCTGTTTTTTTCTGACAATTAGATTCAAAAGACCAACATTCAGTCTAAAGTAGCTGAAATTCTAATTCTCTGGAATTAAAACTCCTTTTGAGAGATGTTCAAGTTTCTTGCCCAATTTTGTTGGAAATTTGAAGAAAATAAAATATCAGAGAAGGCTCAATGACGATTTGGAGTTTCCTACGTTCTCAAATCTTTCAAAGCGTATCAGTTAACCTCAAGCTCTCAATGATACCATGTTCAAATCAAGTCTCTGCAAAGTGATTCTCTCATTAACTCAACTATAAAGCACTTTCATCTCCATTTCTTCTCCATTACTACCATCCTTCTTAAGAATGCAATTTTTAATCTTTAAAAATTGAAAAACTGTCACTTGAGACTAAGGATTAAATCCAGGGCCTTGCATTATAACCATTCTACATCTAATTGTTTAGCCTTGTTATTTGTTAAAAGACTACTCTTTTAGTAGTCTTGTTTACCTAACTGGCACCATGTTTCCTACTTCCCTGAAATGATATGACCTTTAGGGATAGGTCAATGGTTCTTCCACTGTCTTTATTACAAAGAGAAAATTGAAGTTGGTACACATTCCAAATGTAGTTTTTAATGGCACCTGAGCGATAGCTTCCTCTTGTTATTTACTCTTTTATATTCTGGAAATTTAAAATCAACTCTCAAAGAGTAGGAACACTCTTAAAACAGCACAACCTAGTACATTATCAGTCACATTCAGGATACCCTGAAAGTAATATACCTTTCATAATCCAGTTTTACAGTTCATCAGACATTATTTGATAATAGCACCTCTCATATCCCATATTGTCTTGTCATACTTAAAATTTGCCTCACATTTCTATTTTATTTAAAGTTACCCTGTTCCCCTACACACACCTTATCACATGTATAAAATGTTGTATTTTTTCCTCTCAGTATTTTACAGATTGGCATGTTTCATCATTGGAAGTGAATCTTTTTTATTATGGCCCCAAAGAATACCAATAAAATGATCAGATTAGGAAATTTAGCATCATTTCTTTAAAAATGTGCTTTCTTCCCTGATATAATAGTCTCCACTTCATAATTTCTGAGTGATACCTCTGGTACTTATCATCGCACTTATGTACCTGCCCCTGGGAGATTTCACCTTGGTTTCTAAGCTTTCTACCTTGAACAGTTAGAAAAATCAATAATCAGAGTTCAAAGAAAAGCAAGTTACCTTTTTAAAACCAAAGTTTTGGATAAAACTGTCTTGTCAATATGGCTTAATATTAATATGGCTGTAACACAGGGACTGATCCCTATTTTCTCTTTATTAACACTGTGACCTGATCAAAATTTTTTAAAGTCTAGACTAGTGTTCCATATGTTTTACACATTTTATTCTCTCATCACATCTTTTAAAAACAAAAGGATGCAACATTTGCACCCATCAATGCCTTTTTCTTTAGATGTGGCTTCACTTTCTTCAGGCTTTTTGTTACCAGGAAGCAGGATCTGATTTTGATACTGTCCAAGTGCTGTGAAAGCATGAGAGGGAGTCATCTTCAAACCAGTTGGGCTTATTCAGTATCAGCTGCATAATTTCTTCTAAGTCGTTCGTAACAGATACAACATACACAGGATATCAGTTTGGGCATTTTTTTCCTTTTTTAAATAAGTATGTTTCCAGGTTGTCATTTTTTTTCTTTTTTTGGAATATATTGCACAATATTTTATTATTAAAAAAAGGTTTTATGTCTCAGGCAAAAAGTTTTTCTCCTTCACTCAGAAGGTGCTAATGTGTATTATTTTCTAAAAGAGGTAAGTGGTTGTCTGTGTGGCCATCCTCAAAGGGGACCTAGGGGAGAAAAAGATCAAAGCATTAATTTAGTTGCTTATACTATTTTCTTATAAACACAAAGCCGTATTTTGGGCAAATCTTTCTAGGCAGGAAAGGCAATTACTTAGACTTAACAATGATACTATGATTTAAGAGACCAGAACCATATATATAATATCACTTACAGAATGGACAGGTTTATAGGATCCAAGTCTGAAACGACAGCAAATTATTTCAACTATAAATTTTCCAATTCCATGTAACATGCCTGTAATAAATAAGTTCATGTTTTTAATTAAATTACTTCTGAAACTGCTGTATGAGAATAAAAAACTCATTTAAGTGTAATAGAATAGATTAAGAAAGGAAACAAAGCAGTTTGCATTATTCATTTCTATGGTTAAAAATACTCAAGAGTTATTTAAAAACAAATGGATCTCTTTTTAAAATCATAAGGCTACACACATAACTCACGACCTTGGCACAATCGATCTTTTCAAGGTTTCCTCACACTTTTGAACATAAATGATATTAACAACACACACTCAAGTGAATTTAAATCAAGAAGTAACAAAGAACCATGTAAGAAAAGCTATTTGTTCTTGAAAATAAAAATACATGATTTCAAGTATATAAACTACTCAACTCCATATAAATACTGAGTAGACATGGAAGATGAAAAGGAACCTTACTTTATATGTCGGACTTAACTCTCAAATTTTCATGATTACAATTCTACAAATGATCTTTGAGAAATCCAGAACCTCAGGCCAAAAATAAAAAATATTATTGATTAAAAAAACTAGTTTCACATGCTGCATACTTTACATAGTGCACGGCATTTAAGTACCTTAAACAAAAAGGAAAGTTTACATCCAAGTGACTATTTCTGGGTATTTTCTCATTTAACCCTATAATACTTACAATTAGATATTAATTCTGATTTTTATAGATGAGAAAATGATTTCAGAAAAGATAGGTGATCTCTTCAAGCAAAAGGCAGAACCTGGATTTAATTCTAGTTCTGACCATATAATCTCCCTAAAGTTACTAAATGCTGTAGAATTAAGTTATGTTTAATGGTTAGTAGATATAATTTTAGAGCTTTGGAATTTACATTAAGAAAAATGTTCTTCAAATATTAAAACATAAAAATGTATCACTCTTGCCCTCTTTAAGTAGAAATGTGTGTGTGTGCGCGCGCGCGTGTGTGTGTGCGCGTGTGTGTGGTGCTGAGGATCGAAACCAGTGCCTTCATATGCTATCCAAGTGCTCTACCAATGAGCTACATCCCCAACCAAGTAGAAGCACCTGAAGTATAAGGAACACTTTTAGAAATTAGACAAAGAAATGAATGTTAACCTGTTGTTGAAAAGATTCCTCCAACAATACCACAGAGTCTTACAAAAAACTGCCAGAATGGCATATGCTCCTCAGTAACTGTCACCATAAGAGAACTGAGATCGTATTTCATAAATATCCCAGAGACTCCATGGCTGCCTGCAGCATGGTTAATGATGCGTTCCTAAAAGGAAGGGGAAAAGAGAGGAAGAGAAAGGAGGAAAAGAAAAACATAATTCATGCCATTTGGTTACTACATGTACATACCATATTAAGAGTTGTAGCTCTATATACAAGAAAAAAAATTCTTTATGAACTGTTCTACTAGATATTAATAAAGTTCTTCAGAGACAATTTGCAGGGTGTGGTTCACTTTTGAAACTAACAAAATAACAGAATAGAGCCATGCATGACTTTGCCCACTTGTAATCCCGGCACTCAGGAAGATCACAAGTTTAAGGCCAGAATGGGCTACATGACAAGAATCTGTCTTAAAAAAAAAAAAAAAATCACTCTGCACACAGTTTTCTACTGAGCTCATGAGCTTACAAGTATATGGCATGCTCCTCATTGACCAAATCAATAAAAAATCATTTACATTTTGACATACTTTTGTGTTATTTCTCTTCACAGCAAAACCATATTTGCCTTTTGTCATTTAATTGATGAGAAATTTTAAAATATATATTAAAAATAATTTTTTACTCTAAACTATCTGAGATACAATACCGGGGAAAATATAAATGCACTAAGTTGAAAGATGTCAATATCTGAGCTATTAGTTCAGGTTTAAAAAGACTTTTTAAAGGAATGCAACCAAGATTATAAACGTCCCAAAGTGTGCACACTGATCCAAAAATGCTGTGTTTCATCATTCTATCCTGTTTATACTTCAAAAATTAAGCTTGCAAACTTTCTGCTAAATTTCTTGTATTTTTTCTTTAGCAGTAGTGGGGTCTGAACTCAGGGCCTCACACTTGCTTGGCAGGTGCTCTACCACTGGAGTCATGCCCCAGTCCTCTAATAAATTTCTATTACAGCTACAAAAAACAATGCCTTAAGATTTTTGTGCTGGACTCCATGTAATTTTACTAAACTGTAACTAACCTGCAAGTTCCAGGAATACACATAATGAATTACTGGTATTAACCACTACCAAGGGAAATTAAGACACCTTTCTGTGGGGCATTACAAACCACTTCTCTATTATTAACACAATACAGCCTCATTAGCTGCTGGTCAGTTTTCAATAGCAACTTCATCTATCCCGCTGAAATGCTCAACATCATGTTCACATTATGTGTTGTCACCACCTAAAATAAGGGTGGAAGCTGTTTTAGGGATCAGATCCCTAAAACATCGCTTTGAATTAGTAACAAAAGATCGACAATGATTTAACTTGTGGTTCTAAGACCATCTAAAGACATCCCTCTCCCTCTCTGACTCCACATCCCACACTTTGCAAAACTGAATATTCCACTTCTTTTATAAGTGAAGCACAACTATTTTAGCCACCTATCAACACAAACACATTTCTCAAAGGTACATGCTCTGGAGCTGTAGATTTTTTTCTTTTTAATTTATTCTTTTTTAAATATGTACAGAAGATAACTTCATATTAATATACAGAGATCTTCACGCTTCTTTTTTACAGTCACATGTTCTTCCATTGTACTGATGTAAAATATGGGTTATTTCTAGTCTTCTACTATTATAAATAATGAACACAATGAACAGCCTCATACACAAAACATTTTTCTATTTATCCCATCATTTCTTGGGAAGAGATTCCTAGGACAGAGATTGCTGAGTCAATGGAGTCTTTCATGGAGCCTATGAAATTCTGCATTCCTTTAGCAATATATACATTCTTGTATTCCCCAAAAACTTGCCAACTGTATATACTGTCTTTCAGGTATTTGTCAATCTTATAGAAGAAAGATGGTATCTTCCTACTCCTAAAGAAATGCTGAAAAGTACAATATATATTTGTGTACACTTTACCTAATTTCTGTATATGTATGTGTATGAGCACAAACAACACAGACATAAACAAGTACACACAATTACATATACTCCTTAAACCACTTGAAAGTTAGACACTTAATACTTCATCTCTAAAAATAGTACCTAATTTCAGAAGCACAAGGAAAATTCTGATTATTAAGAACCTGACTGTAGTGATAATAGTATCAAAAGAAAACTACAAATGGAGGAAAATAAATTTTTAAATGCAGGCCAAAAGTCACATGTTCTTCCTCATATGTGGGTTATAGACTTAAAACAAATGCAGTAATATTATTGGACATGGGTCACACACTCTTAAGGGGAGAACATGCAGGCGAGGAAATAGGAAAAGGGAAGGAAACCTAAAACTTGAATGTGGTTGATGCGCTCACTGTATAGGAACAAATATGGTAATCTTAAATTGGCCAAGGCCACTACAGAAAAGGGACTAGGAAGTAGTGAAGAGGTCTGGTAGAGACGAACCAATGTGGATTGTAATACATGTATGCATGGAAACAACACAAGGAATCTCCCTATATAGCTATCTTTATCTCAAACTAGCTAAAATGCCAAGCTTTTCTTATTACCTTTTATGTTTTCTCTTCTACAAAATCAGAGAACAAGAGGGCAGAATAGGTTCTGCCCTGAGGTGGGGAGGGGGGGGCGGAGGGAGATGGAGGTGGCCCAAATAAAACACATGTAAGTAAATGTAAAAGTGATAAAAAAAATTTTTTAAAGCACTTTGCCTTGGTATTCTTCTGAATTCTAGTATTTAAGTATTTACCAGTCTTAAACACAAAAATAAGATAATGTGATCCCAAAATAGATGAGAAATGTATTTAACTGTCCAATTCCAAAACACTGCTCATCATTTACATACAAAGCCAGTCTATCCTGAGGTTGCACAACACTCGTTCTACCAGATGAATGCAAAGCAGTAACTTAGGGAAGCAAGCCCTTTCTATTGCTATCTGGTCTACAATACCCACATGTATTCCAGGGTAGGAACACTTACTAAAAAATAAATCAGAGAATCTTTGCTGGCAGATTGAGAACTGCAATATAAGAGAAAGAATGATAGAAAATTAAGACATGAAGAATAACAACAATAGCAAGGTGCTGGTGGCTCACACCTGTGATCCTAGCTACTAAGGAGGCTAAGATCAGAAGACACTGCAGCTGTAGGCAAGCCAGGGCAAACAGCACCTGAAACCCATCTCAACCAATAGCTGGGCGCAATGGTGTGCACCTGTCATCCCAAGCTAATCAGGAGGCTGAGATGGGGAGGATCACAGTTCCAAGCCAAACAATTTTCAAGACCCTATGGGTGAGCCAAGTGTGACAGTGTGTACTTGTTATTCTAGCTAAGGTGGGAAGTGTAAAATAGGAAGACTGCAGTGCAGGCCAGCTTGGGCAATGGCAAGAACCTAGCTCCAAAATAACCAGAGCAAGAAGGGCTGGAGGCATGGCTCAAATAGTAGGTGCTAGGCACCTGCCTAGCAAGTGTGAAGCCCTGAGTTCAAACCCCAGTACCTCAAAAAAAGTGAAAGAATAAGATAAATTGAGCATAATAGTTTAGCAATTTTAGAACTTAATTGAACAGAAATATTTCAGATTTATTTAAAAAAAAAAAAGTCTACTTTCCTGCTCTAGAACATACTAACACCCATTTATAATACATTTTTGGCTTAAAATAAAATGTTAATTCATTTCAAAGCTTCCATAAATTATTAAATGCAGACAGACACCAACTGAAACTAACCTTTTTTTATTAATGCTAACAACAAAAAAAAATGCTAGCAACAACAACAAAAAAATCATTTTACCAATTAGATTCAACTTACCCTTTCTGTCACAGAAAACTGATGGGTATCTGCTGAAATTTTATATGTATGTAGTTTTGTTGGCACAACTGTAATAAAATATTGGAACATCTGGTTGTCTAAAATAAAAGCAAAATGTGTTTTTTCATAAAAAATTACTGCCAAATACATCCTTTTTCTGTTAAGTAGATTAAGACTGATATTTAATATTAAATTTGACTTAATGTCTAATAACAGGAATATGTGTGCATGTGTGCGCACACACACAAAGTTAAAAATGATGAATTAGCAACTTCACTAACAGAATCAATCACTAACAACCTTTTATTTAAAAATTGAAAAATAAAGGTAGTATTTCTTTAAATTACTGAAATTGATGAGATAAAATATTACAATGATATAATCACAACTTCCAGCTTCTACTAGTATCTTCAGATGTACTAAAGGGCTGGTGAAGTGGCTCCAGTGGTAATTGCCTGCATAGCTGGCATGCGGCCCTGAGTTCAAATCTTAGCACTACCAAAAAAAATGTTATATGCACTAATAAACTAAAATTGAATTAGCCAGACTGAATTAATACAAGGAACTGATACTAGAGCAGAAAGATAACTAAACAAACTACTCAATGATTACCATACAATCAAAAGCATCATTTTTACACTTATGAAAGGTTTAATACAAATTACAGATACCAATGTATTGCCAATTACTAGTTAATTTTAAACAGCAGCTCATATAATACAAAACATGTTAGTTCTTTCTATAGATCTATGTCCTAAACAATTTAGAATTGCATACCTTTACAGTTTCAACTAGGTAAGCAAGAGGGACTCATTACATTTGGACTGTAACATAGGCACTTCACACAACATGGCAACTGTCTTTCAAAATAAAGTATGTGAGCCAGGTGCCAGTAGCTTATACCTGTAATCTTAGCTAGTTGGGAGGATCATGGTTCAAGGTCAGTCTGTGCAAAAAGTTCACAAGACCCCACCTCAACCATTATCTGTACCCAACGGCATGAACTTGTTATCCCAGCTACACAGAAGGCTGAGATCAGGATTGTGGTTCCAGGGCAGCGCAGACAAAGAAGTTTGCAAGACCCGATCTCGGCATAAAAAGCTGAGCATGATACCATGTGGTTGACATTCCAGCTACAGTGGGAAGTACAAATAGGAGGACTGTAGTCCAGGATGGCCTGGGCAAAAGGCGAAACCCTACCTCAAAAGTAAACAAAGGAAAAAGGACTGTGTTCATGGCTCAAGCAGGAAAGCACCTGCCTAAGAAGCATAAAGTCCTGAGTTCAAACTCCATAACCACCCAAAACAGTTTGTGCAATTAAAATAATTTGAAATTATTTATTGTAGTGGTTTTCAAATTTTTAAAGAACCACCCAAGCTGCTGCTTTTTCTCCCCTCCCTCTCCCTCTCTCTCTCCTTCTCTATCTCAGTGGTAGTACAGAGTTTGAACTTAGGGCCTCAAGCTTGCTTGACAGATGGCCTACCAGGTGATCCATGCCCCCCAGTCCTTTTTTGCTTTTAGTTATTTTTAGTTATTGTAGGGTGTACCAAGCACTAAGCACTTTACATATATTATCTTAAACAATCTACAACAGTCCTATGGAGTAGGTTTTTAAAATTATCCTTTTCTAAGAAATGAGCAAACAGAAGTACAGGAATGTTAAGCAACATACCCAAAGCTACTGAATTACAACTTGACAAGCTAGGACTTGACCCAGACATTTTCACTCAAAGGGTTCATGGTCTCCAATGTAAAGAAGAAAAATCCTCCCATAACTCTGTGTGAAGTAAAAACTTGGTACAACCCTACAGACATAAAGGAGTAAGAATATAGGCCTTCCTCTGCAATTCTCTCTCTCATAGCAGGAGTAATTCAACTGGCAGGTGGGAGAAACTGTTCATGTGTAGCTAAGCTGCTCTGCTAGCTAGCCTATGGTACTTGCTCTCTCCTACAGGCCTTTCTGCAGGACACACACATCTATTGCTTTGCCATAAGGACAGTGACTTCACTCTGCATTTGATTAGTTAGCAGCATAGAATGATGTTATGTCATAGCACATAAAGGCTGTTTTGTTTTTTTCTTTTAATCATCTTCAATAACAAAGCTTCCTACAACACTCTAAAAGGATTGCTATCTGGTTCACTTCTTCACTTCACTCAAGTATTCTTTTCAAATACCACAACCTTTTCTACTCCCTTTTTCCTGTCACAAGTGATCACATTTTCTTCACAGCCCTTGTCCTAATTCTAATCAATACCTAATGATAACAGATTATGATCCTCTATTGAAATGTATACTCTGTGAGGAGCAAGGACTGCATCTATGTTTTTCTGTTGGTGGTGGTAGTTTGCACTTTATTTTATTTTTGAACTAGCATACAATAATAACACAAGAGGTTTCACTGTACATCTATGTTGTTTATCACTGGGTCACTGATGCCTCCAGTAGCAAAAGACAAATACAAGGTGCTTGATAAACATTATGGGATAAACAAGCTTTTGTTGTTTTGAGACAGGGTCCTGCTATATATATAGCCCAGGCTTGCCTCAAATGCACTATGTAGCCCAGGCTGACCAACTCAATCCTCCTGCCTCAGCCTCCTAAGTGCTGGGATTATAGATATGTGTCACCATACTATAAATAAACTTTGTAAAACCTGAATTTATTGAAGTTTATGTATCTATAATAAAATGAACAATTTTAGATGCATGGGTCAATAGTTTGACAAATGTATTTATGGCCAATTATGATCACTTCTATAAATCAAAATACAGAACATTTTAAAAACCTCAAAAAGTAAGCCAGGCATGGAGGCCCATATCTGTAATCCTAGCACTCAGGAGCCAAAAGCAAGAGGATCACAAATTTGAGGCTGGCCTGGACTACATAGAATGTTGGACTACATAGCAAGACTCTGTCTCAAAACAAAACAATAAAAATCTCAAAAAGTTCCTTCATATCCTTTGCTACTTCTGGCCCCACGCCAACCACTGATCTTCAGATTAGCTGATCACAGATTACTAGTCCATTAAAGTTTTGTATAAATGGAAGCACACACACAGTATGTGCTTTTCTGTGTTTAGCCTCTTCTCCTCAACACAAATGAATTGAATCCCTAATTACAGTTAGATAAAAACTAGCATTCCTAGAAGCCAAGGAAGCTTTAGAAGTCCTTAATTTAGGGATGGCAGAGTGGCTCAAGTGGTAAAAAGCATCTGCCTAACAAGCATGAGGTCCTGAGTTCAAACCCCAGTGCTACAAAAAAAGAAGTCCTTAACTTAAAAGTCCAAGAGGTGGGACATGTCACATAAACAGAGGAAAGGCAATCGAAATCTTTAGAAATCAAACTGGACATGGTGGGTGACACATGCCTGTAATCCCAGCACTCAGGAGTCTGAAGCAGGAGGATCGTGAATTTGAGACCATCCTGGGCTACATAAGCAAATTTTTTCTCAAAAAACCAATAATAACAAGTTCTTCTGAAAACATGAAAATAGACTATTTGCTACAAAACTAAGAAAATAATTCTTCCAAGTTTGAAAAAAACTGATACTTTAATAGAAGTAGAAGGCTAAGATAAAACAGAAAAGGTTATATATGCAATAATGTACTACTTATTATTTTTTGGCAGTATGGGGTTTGAACTCAGGGCTTTTGTACTTGCTAGGTAGGGGCTAATGTAATGTACTACTTTTGATTGTATTAATAAATAAACCACTCTAAAATAACTCTAGGTTTCTTATGTTTGCAAAATTCTCCAGGGAGGTTTCTCAAACAGTAATTTTAGAACCTTGAACCGTGAAAAAAGGATGAAAAAATTTTTTAAAATGTTGAAACTTTCTTTTGTTCATATTCTTTCTTTGGTGAAATCAGAAAGTCTAGTTATATTCTATTAACACACTAACTTTTCATATATTCAGAATTTTTTAATTTAATTTTAATTTTTTTGGTGGTACTAGGGATTGAACTCATGCTCTCATGCTTTCTAGGTAAGTGCTCTACCACTTAAGCCACATCCCCAGTCCAACTTTTCATATATTTAAATATTTAAATTCTCTTGCCTGACCTTAATTTTCACTTCTTTATTCTGTTTTGTGACTTGTTTTCTTAACATTCAGATTTCATTTACTTCTAGGACAAATCCTCTCCACACACACTCATCAGCCATGACTATCTTCACAAGAGGACTAAGAAAAGGGTTTTTTTAAATGTACTAATATCAAGGTTATAAGAGCAATTTCCTACCTATAAATTCCAAGAGAATCATGTAAATACTTACGATCTACAGCAATCTTTTCAGTTCCATCCAAAGGATTAATAATTCCTGGAACAAGCTCTCCAAAAGACAAATGATCTATTCTGTGAGAAAAGTTGTAAGCTAAGAAGCAAAAAAGTAAAATCAACTAAGTAGAGAAATGTTATTTAAAGCTATATATATATTAGTTTAGATTCTTATCTATCCTCAAATGAAAATACCTACAATCTGAAGTATAATATATTATTAATATATTATATATGTAATATTATATTATATATATTAATATAGAGTTTAAAACATTATGTTGAATGCAGGGTGACAGTGGCTCACTCCTGTAATCCTAGCTACTTGGGAGACTGAGAGCAGGAGGATCATGGTTTAAGGCAATATTTGGATGCAGTGGTGCATGTCTATCATCCCAGCAATGAAAAATAGAAGGATTGCAGTCTAGGTTGGCTTGGGCAAAAAACCAAGACACTATCTTCAAAATCAACAAAGCAAAAATGCTGGAGGCATGGCTCAAGTGGTATAGTACCTGTCTAGCCAGCAGCATAAGATTCTGAATTCAAACCACAGTATCCCAAAGAAAAAAAACACTGAGTAAAATGCATATAAATATGAGAATTAAATGTACAAGAATAAGTAAATTCTAAGCTAGGAGCAGTGGTTCACACTGTATTTCCAGCTACTAGGGAGGTGGAGATCCAGAGGATCACAGTTTGAGGCCACTCCAAAAAGTTAATGACACTCTGTCTCAATCAGTAAACTGGGAATGATGGTGCACACCTGAATCCCAGTTACACAGGAGGCCATAAGTAGAAGGATAGCCCCAAGTTAAAACACAAGCCCCTATCCAAAAGATAACCAAAGCAAGAAAAAGGGCTAGGGACATGGCTCAAGTCATAGAGTGTCTGCCTAGCAACTGGTAGGCCTTGAGTTTAAACCCTAGTACCACCAAGGGTAAAAAAAAAAAAAAAAGTCAATTCTAATTCTGATAAAATGTTATGTCTCAAATTTTATAATTACATATAAATATACTTCTATGAAATACATTTAACCCTAATAGTGAAAAAAATATATATCTTTCCTGATCCTAAGCATCATATAACAGGATTACGTTGATAGAAAAAGTGGGTTGATGTTCATATGACCAAAAAAAAAAAACTGATCACACTTTTTTAAATATATACCACTGCTGTAACCAAACTGAATTAAGTTTCAAAACAATCATTATATCAAACTAGCTTTATACATATGCATGAATATGTCCCTACACAGGTTTACAAACTGAAATAAACCTCAAACACATTTTCTTCATTATCTATGCAAAACAGCTGAACTGTGTACAAAGCAACACAGAGGACACCCAGGCTTTTCCTAGCTTTAGCAATACTGAGCTATAGACAAATAGACATATATTAGCTTAAAGATAAAATGGTTATATGTTTTTAAAACAGCTTATTTTGAAAGTCCTATTTTGTATCTGGAATAAAACATAACACAACACATATACAAAAACTTTTCCTCAAAAATATCTACACTGCAAAAAAATTTCAGGTTGCTTACAGTCGTGGTTGACAAGTGCTGCCAAATGTGCATGGCCTCGAGGATGAGGAATTGCCCTGAAAGGAGGAAGAAGATATTAAGTAGCATTTAACACATGCTGAGATAGTCCATCCTTCCCAAGCTACCTAACTCTTTGTACTACAAACCGGTATAAGAATATAGATAAGCACACCGTAATGCAATGAACTGGGGGTTAGAAATTATTTTGTTGTAAAGACCCAGATAATAAATATTTTAGGTTTGGTGGGCCAAAATGCAAAATCAAGGATATTATATAGTTACATAATGAAAACACAAATTTCACAAACTTTTATTGATGAAAGTCAAAATACTAATGATTGAGTACTACTTCTAGTAAAAGCAGTGTTTTTCAGGGTGTAGAGTTTGAGTTCCTAGTTGCGAAACTGATGTCAAATGTTATTTGTTAGTAATAATCTACAAGGAAATTTCAGACGTTACATCTTTGAAAATACAAGTCCACGAGAACGTTTGATTTGAGCATATTCAAAGCTTGGAAGGCATCTCCAAGATGACACTACTGTAGAGTGGTCTCTTGGTATTTGCCTCTAATCATGACAGTGTACAAATTCAAAGCAAACATGAATAGTAATTAATATTTAATTAATTAACTATATCTAAGTATAAGAATGCAGACCCTGTTTCCTGTTTTAGCTTTCAACACCACAACTTATTAAAGTATTAAAGGCAAACAAAACCACTCAACATCACTTAATAGTACTCATTACTGAAATAATTTTACCACAATAGAAGTTTTGTTTTATAAAGCTTTTGTCTTATAATTTTAGGATAAATTGAAACATTACTGAGTATGCACACAACTTAATTGCCAAAGGTATTCAGTGTTTACTAGTAGTGGTTGATCATGTTTTCTCATTGAGACAAATTTCCATCATTGCACTGAGCTACAAAAAAAAACTGTAATAAAACTTTACCACTGCTAAGCCATCAAACTGCTGTATAGCAGGCGAGGTAGAATATTCCACTTTTATTAACAAAAATTCATGGAAAGGACATTTAAGTCCATGATAGCAAATGAAATCCATTACTACCAGTTAAAAATAAATGATACTTTCAAATATTTTCTGTAAAATACTGATGATGAAAAATGGGTAACCATAAGCTTTAAACACATTTTCACAAGTTTTGAAAATTTACCCACATAACACTTTTCTGTTCCACATGTGTTTTTGTCACCATCAGTTATAACACAATTTTAAACATCACAGAAGACTTCAATTTAGAATGTACTGAATTTGAGTTCTCACAACTTCTTTAAAAATATTCTTGCCTAAATTGTTCCATACCTGCTATTATGGATACCAATTTTTCAACCACTTTAGACTCAGCATTGATTGTTAAAGAAAACAACAAGTACTATTGGTAACACCTATCTGCTCATCAAGAGCTCAGGAAAACCATTCAAAATCTCTTGCCTCATTTTTTTAATTGACTACTGGATAGTCCTCTTAATGTCTCAGCTTTTGGAGCACTTTTCTCATTGAAATTGGAATTCCATGTTTTTCATGTGTTATATTATTCCACTTCTGATTTCTTGTCAAATATTTAAAAATGTAAAACCATTTGTAGCTGATGGGCCATATAAAAAACCAAATAATTAGCTGGATTTGCTTTCTAGGCTGTCCTACTCCAGGAATAAACCCTTTCTGCTCTATAATGTTACCCTCAAGTTTAACCCATTTTTTAATTCCTTTAATACTTTAAAGAAAAACTATTATTAACAGTTAAAAATATTATTTATATTTTTAAGAAAAACTATTACCCTTCCCTGTTCTTGGTTTTTAAAGTCAAAATATCACCTTGAAGATTCTGACAAGTCACCCCATATTTCTGCTTTACTAATTCTGGCAATTAACTAAGAAAGTGACCACAAAAATTCTCCATAAAACATTCATCTCTCTTTATTAGTAACGAATGTCACTGTCAAGTTTTAGAATATGTCCTAGTAGGCTTTAACATTTGTGATTTATGGTATTTGGCACAGCAATAGGCACTTAAAAAAATAGGGCAATATAATACTTAGGGAAATGTGTTAACATTCATCATAATGTAAACTAAAATCTTGTGCAACAAAGTTTCTCCCATGCACTGGAATGACTGGTAATTTAGTCTGGCAAAGTCCCCTGTGTTCTAGGCCAAGTGTGCCACCTCAAACTCACTACTAAAAAGAAAGTGTACTGGCATAAATTC